TTAGTGCCCTTCAACATTAACTATTAATAGATAAAGAGCCACACAGATATGATCACAGGCCAATCTGATGAAGGCAATTACTCCATTTATGTACCTTGCCTCCAGGTAATTGTAGTTTGTATCCTGTTGACTAAAACCTAGCAGCAGAAATGCCTACAAAGAAAGAAAGAATATGATAGATCTCAAATTACCTAGTTTTTCATTTCTAGGGCTTAGAAAATAAGAAGAAATCAAACTCAAATGTCTAAGCTGAAAGAAATGACAGACATTAGAGTAAAAATAAATGAAATATTGAACAATCAATACAACCAATGACTGAAATGATAAGATTAAACATTAGATTGATAACAAATAGACACTGCTAAAATAAATAAAATCAAAGAAAAATAAAAATCTCATAACCAATCAACAGAATTATAAAAGATGAGTAGAAGGTTTAGGGGTCCAGCTCAGCAGTAGATTATTTAACATGCACAAGGTATTGTGTTTGATTCCTGTGACTGAAAATAAATGGCTTCTATGTATTTGCATTATGAAAAACTGTACTATCACAGTGAAACAAATTGAAAGATCTAGGTGAAATGAATAACTTTTCAGATATGAAGAGATATGACTGCCAAAATTGAACTGTGAAAACACATACCAAGCAAAACAGACCTATAACAATGAGATTGAGTCCACAATAGAACATTGTCCAATGAAGAAAAGCCCCACCTGAATGGCTGTATGCTGATTTGACAAACTTTTCATTCACTTCATTTTATGTGTATGGGTGTTTTGGCGGCATGTATGTTTGGGCACCACATATGTTCAGTGCCCAAAAAGCTCCAAAGAGTGTATTAGATTCACTGGGACTGGAGCAACATACCATTGTAACCTGACACATGTGTACTGGGAATTCAACCCAGATCTCCTGGAGGAGCAGCAAATGTTTTTAATACTAAGCCATCTCTTCAGCCTTTTTTTAAAGCAAACTTATAATGACAATTCTCAAACTTCCAAAAAACAAAAGGGACAGGTCCTGGTTGAAGGAGTGAGAAAGACTTATTCTGTGAGGCCAGCATACTTTATTACCAAAATAAGACAAAGACTTAACAAATAAATAAGCTATAAACCAACATATGGGTGAACTGATTTAAAAATTCTTGACAACATGGAAGAAAGTCAAACATATCATATAAGTTATTTACCATTATCAAGTAGGTTTCAAGAATCCCAGCAGATTTCAACATAGGCAAGTCAATTCTTATGGTACATCACATCAACAGATAAAGGGTAAGAATCATATAGCCATCTCAATAGACACAGAAAAATGCCTTATAGAAAATTCAGCATCATTCTATGGTAAGAGGAATAGAGTTCAAGACATTTATTATGCAGAAAGGTGACTAGAGCTAATGATGACACAGTGTATTTTTGGAAAATCAGAGTGAACATTAGGTCCTCTTGTCATAAAACTTGTAACAGTGAGTTAATGTGTTCATTAGTTAGCTAGATGTAGCTATTCTGTAATGTATATGCAGTTCAAAGCATCATGTTTTACAAGATAAAAACATACAATGTTATCAGCCAATTTGAAAGCGACATTACATTTTTATACATAGGAATAATTGCACGGAAGGTCATAAAATAGTTACTTAGGATCCATAAAGGCCTGTGCTTTCAAGAGGGTAGTGACCAAATGGCAATTTTAGAGATGATCTTTCAGTTTGGCTGAACAACCTCAGAATGAAAGGATGATTGCAGAGGGAAGGTTGCACTATACGGAGGCCAGAGAAAGAGAATAAAGATGAAATAAGGAATATGAAGTCGAAAGGAAGAGTACTTTGTAAATCGATTATTTCTCACAGCACATTTACTCATTTTAAGAACATATACCTGGTAACTGTACCATTATGTATCTTAATTTATCTCTCTTATGCAGTGTAATTTCTCCAGCTATAATTTAAAATTTAATTATGTTCCTAATTAGCCATTTCTGCTCAAGGAGTGATATGCCCCCAGAGTGGCAGAATACAATTATTCACTCACCAACTTCATATTGAACATATTACATGTGCTACCAGCACTCCTTGGCTGAAGAAATGACTTCCAGCTGGGGGGATATAAAGACTTCAGTGGAGGGTGCATAGAAATTGACCTTGACAGATGGATAAGAAATAAGCAAAATGACATCTGTGTGTCCCTTCAGTGTTATTCTGCAAAATCAGCAGTGGATCCCTGCAAATTGTTCATTATTTAATTCTCTGGGAGGAAGCAACTTCTCTTGAGATGCTGTGTATTTTTATTTATACACTAAGGTCAAATGTTACATGTTAACTTGTAGAATGCTTTATCTGGTAGTTCTTGATTTGCATTACATTCATCATTCTAACACCACTGTATCAATTCCTATACATATTTTGGTTCTATAAATACCAGGTCAATTACATTTCACCATCTTAGTTGGGCTCTCTTTAATAAGCTAAATTAAATCTATGGTATAAATTCACTTTAGATTGATATGAGGTTCACACACACAACTTAATAAAATTACATCGACAGTACATGTAATTTTAAATGAGCAGGAACAGTTCAGGAAGGGGATATTGGATGGTAAAATGCAAAACAGGTGTATATAAGAAATAACAGTGGATGCTGCTTTAGTTCAGTGAACTTTGATCAGAGTTTTCCCTAGGAGGAAACAAAGAATGCTCTCCCACAGTAAAACTGAGCAATCTACAGTTACAGGCTGATCAATTCCATAAACACAATCCTAAGTTGAATTAGAGCAGTTAAGCATGTGCTACCATTACTCTTCAACTAAAATATCAGTGAAAGATTTTTTTTAAGTTCTTGCATGACTGACAAAGGCATTTTGTTTTGTTTAACCTCTTAAAAAGGTAAGGTGGAAGCGTACATAAGCACCATGTCCCTTGTAAGCTGAATAGAATAATTCTATAAATTGAATATATAAAGATGTTTTTAAATTTTATCTCTCATTTTATCTATTACCATTGCTTGCATTAAGAGCTTGTTAATCTTTTTAGAGTTATGTCTCTGCATCAATGACTTTTTCAGCAAACCAAAATTGATCTTAGTTTATTGTAAGAAGAGACTGAGAAGTGATTTTCTTTAACAGGTTTTATTGTCATAATAAAGAGTGAGGGTGGATGGTAGAAGCTATTGTTCTTAAAAGTTTCCTGTAACAAGATATATGAACCTGTGAAAGTCAAAAAAACGATATTCTTTCCTTTCTTTTCTTTATAATAACCAGATTCAGCTGGCCCTTAACAGTGTGACTCTTCTGAGCTGTTGGGGTTTTGCTATACTGAATCATGCTCCCCCAGAGCCCTGTTTGGTAAGCAGAAGCCACTAATAAAAGCAACCTTAATGGATGATTTGGGTGCTCCTTGCCGTGCACCTGTATCCTCGGCGGCTGTCCCTGAGCAGCTCCAAGCTGGGTAGCCTCTGCTGTGTGCCTTCAGGTGTCATTAACGGATCATTGAGTCAACAGATCATGACAGCTCCTTTGGAAAACTCTAGCTCCACATCCCCACTTTCTGCCCAGGGAGTTACACAGAGGCTTTAACAGCCCGCAGTGTGACTTAAAGAAAGTCAAGGGGAAAAAAGGATGTGTTTCAGCTAGGTCCAAATAATAGAGCATCTAAGAGAGTGCGCAGACACTTTAAATATGGGCTCCTGGGGAACAAAAGTCTATTTAGAAAAACATTTTAGGATAGTCTTAAACATAAATGTGTGTCCGTAATAAATAAGTTACCTTCAGGAGTCAGTTTTCTTCTAAATGCTTAGAATTTCAAACATCCCTCATCTCATTTTCTGGGATGCAATGCATACACACTAAGCTGCTTTGGCCTAAACTCACTTTGTGGAGATTTTCTTGCTATTATTTTCCTCATTTCAGGTGGAGTCTTAGAAACTCTTGTATGAAATGTTTGTGATAAGCTCACTTAGTTGTGGTTAACATTTCTAACAAGGAGAAATTAAACAAAAGATTAAATTATCTGTCATCCTATTGATTTGTTAGCCACTTTCCAGATGTTTGTCTTTTGAACATGGATACATGGATATACAAAAAGCTGGAGATAGAGCACTTGACTGAATCCATAGGGAAGGTTAACTGTTTATGCAACACAATCATTTTCTTGTTTAAGAACACTGCTGGCTCCAGTTATTGCTGTTCATAACAACTGACTATTGACAGCCACAGTTTTGTACTTACTGGAGTATGATATTAACATAACCTCATTATTATTTGTATACCCCAAATAGCTTCAACAATACATGCACCATAACCATGTTTTATAAATAAGAAAAGGAAAAATAAGATCATATCTACTTTTATACTTCCTCAAGAGTTCTTTTATGGGCAGGAGTTTGTCTGGATGCATACACAGATTCCTATGTGTTGGTACACTCCTGTGGAGCCAAAAGTCAACCTTGGGTCTTTTTCTAGAGATGCTGCCAGCTTTTTTATTATGAGATATGGTCTCTCACTATCCTCAGCTCACCAGGAATCCTAAGCTGACTGTCTTTGAAGCATCAGGGATTCACCTGTCTTTACCTCACTTGTACTGGGAATTCAAGCAAACCTTCATGCCTAGCTTTCTTTTATTTATTTATTTATTTGCTTATTTACTTATTTCTACCCAGATCTATCACTTCCTGTTTGTACAAACCTCCAGACCTCCATGGTCAGTGCTGGGATTAAAGGGATATGCCACCACACCTGGCTCTATTGCCAGTGTGGTCATAAATTCACAAGAGATCCAGATGGATCTTTGCCTCCCAAATGCTAGGATTTCAGGCATGTGCTACCATTGCCTGACTTCTTTTTTTCATATTTTTTTTATTAAGAAAACTTTTTTATTCATTTTACACACCAAAGATCTCTTCCCTCCTCCTGTACCTACAGCCTCCCCTCTCTAACCCAGTTTCTCCTCTCCCCACAAGAAGGCTTGAAGGTCAACAGCTTTACTGACTAAGCATCACCCTCCCGCTCTTTTAAGGGTTCTGAGGTAATCTTCATAATACTGAAATTCTTCATCTGGAATCTGACTCACTTTAGCCTCTTCTCTTCCCTGCCTTGAAGCAGCAGTTCTCAAAGTTGTGTCTGTCTGCATCGGAATCAACTGAAGGGTTGTTAGTCTGCAGCTGTTGAATCTGATCCAGAGTGGGTGTGGCTAATGGCTAGTTCAGAAATCCCAGTGTGTCAGAAGGCTGAGGGAGGAGCAATAGGCCCAGAATTTCAGCAGTTTATAACACAATGAGGACAATGTCTCAGAGCTAAATGGTGGTGTGAGGGGTGATTTGCATCCTTCATCAGTTTTCACCTGGAGAAGAATCACTTCAAAGCTGTGAGTATTCAAGTTTTCCCACCTCCTGTTCAGAGCAGCCCAATGTCCTTTTTTGCAGCAGTTGTTGGAGTCTTGTCCCTTAGAGACAGAAGTGTCTTCTGTTCTGTCTCCACACAAAAGGGGACTGATTCTTGGAGTCTAGGTTTAGGCAATTGCGTTAGAGGTTTCCAAGAACTTTTTAAAACATTCTAATCAGCTAAAGGAAGAGCATGACAGTTGAGAATAAAGTAGTTTATGCTTTCTTTATAACTGATACTGTTTTTGCTATATCTGTTCTTATTCTAGTAAAGCATATTGTTAGATTATAAGTAGCAATAAAAAAAATCTATAGAGTGTGGCTTAAGTCTCAAGGAAATTACTGTGAGACCAAAGCTCCTCCAGTTTTAAAATAAGGCCTCCAGTTTGTAAGAATCTCTATTCTAGGTTTAGGTTTTGATTTCCCACAGTTGACTCAAGTTCCAGGAAGCTGAAAGTACAAAGTACAGAATCACAAGTTAACCATGTGATGGTGACTGTCTGACCATGGAATGTCCCAAACCTGGTCTCCATTGTGACTGTTTAACCACAGAATACTCCAACCTGCAGGCAGCCAATGGAAAATGGTGACAAACAACTAACCCCCTAGCAGTAAGATAAAGACAAGATTTCTGGAACGTCTCTGAAAGAAAGCCAATCAGAAATGCACCCGTGCTGAAACTCCCAGCTATTGTAATCTTGCAGTTTTTGCCTTTAAAAGCTGTGTTCAATTCAGGCTGAGCACCTCCTCCAGCCTCCACTGCATTGGATGTGCTTGACGAGGTCCCTGCCTAGACTTGAATTGCTCCCCAATAAAGCCTTGCTTTTGCATTCCGGTATGCTCGTCTTTGGTGGTCTCTCTGGGGTCCTGATCTGGGCACAACATTACAATTAAACTCAAGTCTACATATTTTTTTTTTGAGATGCTCAGAGTAGAGCCCAGGCCCATCCAGGTACTATGCAAGTTATTTACCACTAAACTACATCCCCACTACTTACATATTACTTTGGAGAGAGTATTCATCTTCTCAAAAGGACTCTAATTCATCTGACCCTTCCTCTGTAACACTAAGGACATTAGTAAGTGGGATTAATCTATGGATTTGAAATAACCATTTCAGAAGGTATCCACTAACTCTCTGAATTCTATTTGTCTGAATTCTATCACTGTAACTTTTCAGCTGGCATGATGTTTAATCCTTTCTTAAGAATCATTAGTAATTCTCCCTAAGTATAAAAACTGAAGATAACTTAGCATACTTTGTGACAGTTATGATATACCTAAGGTTATTTTCTCTGTGGTTTTTGCTTCAGATATAAACAGACATGGATATTCTCTCAGCTCAGTCAGGATTCAGCATTTTGAACAATGAAATGCTTCACAGTGACTACACTGGAGAATACTTTTGTGAACATTATATTTTTCCTGTTATTATAGTTACACTGAAGTATATGTAAAGAACAATCTAGGATGGGATTTTCTTATGATATTCCTTTCAATAAACTGAAAGATCAAGAACCATATAATTTTTTTCTTCATTTTACTTCTACTTACCCTGAATTGAGCTGTTTGAGAGTCTCACAGAGGACTTGGGTTCAGTTTCTAAGACTGGGTGGCAGACAGCTTTCTGTAATTCCATCTACATGGAATATGAAACGCTCTTCTGGGTGGAGCTAGCCGCTGCATGCACATGGTGCACTGACTGATGCAGGCACACACACAAATACAACCTTAAATTATCTTTACAAACAGTTTATTGGTTTGAATTTTTATTTTAACACATTCATTAAATAAATAATGTTATATATTTTAGTATTATCCAGTATGACATAATATATTTTCTGGATCTTATTTTTCAATTGATGAAACTATTTCCTTCATTTATTAAATGATAATTTAACATTAAAGGAAAATTGTGGGTTTGGTTGTTCTGTTTTCACTGCAGTCTTTGTAACTGTGATGTTGTTAGTTGTTGAAAGAGATTAAAAGTAGACATTTTTATATTTTTGGTTGTGAGCCTAGCCTTTAACGGCTGAGCCATCTCTCCAGCCCAACCAAGGTTGGATAAAGCACAGGGACAAATAACCAAATGAATGGAAGCACATGAACTATGAACCAAAGGCTGAGGGGCCCCCAACTGGATCAGGCCCTCTGAATAGGTGAGACAGTTATTTGGCTTGATCTGTTTGGGAGGCAGCTGTGCGGTGGTGCCTGGTCCTGGGCTCATTGCATGAGTTGGCTGTTTGAATCCTGGGACTTATGCAGGGACGCTTGGCTTTGTCTGGGAGTGGGGGACTGGACCTGCCTGGACTGAGTCTATCAGGTCGATCCCGGTCCTCGGGGGAGACCTTGATCTGGAGGAGGTGGGAATGGGGGGTGGGCTGGGGGGGGAGGGTGGCAAGAGGGGAGAACAGGGGAATCTGTGGCTATTATGTGGAACTGAATGGTGTTGTAAAATAAAAAAAAAAAGTAGACATTTTTCCAAGTTTTTTGATTTGATTTTTTTTTTCAAAAGATTCCTTCTCATTACTCCCCTTCTACCAACATAACTTTAGATAAAACTAAAGTTGATGTTCGGTATATGATAGGCACACCATTTCATATGCTGCCTGGTACCATACTCTTTTGTTTTGTAGGATTGTTTTATAATGCTTAGAAAAGCAATATAATCATTCCATGAACTTCAGTTCATCGTTGGTAAATAAATACTAGCTCTAACTCTTACTTTCTCTTCAGTTGCATCTATCTTACTTCAAGCTATAGTGTAGACTAAAATCTTCATAATTTAGTTATAGAAAACATAGAAACCTCTGCAAAGATGTCATAGAATCTAATGTTCATGCAAGTACCATTGTAGAAAATGATTTGAATCATTGTCCTCACTGCAGTTTCCTTATACAACTATTCACTGTACTCAGTTCAGGCTGTATAGCACACCTTTCCAAGAACTAATACTATGGGGTGGGGGCTACCACCTTGTACAACCCCATTTAGCAATTAGTAGAGTATTGATGATAATTTTTTTTCAGATTTTGAATTTCTTAAAAATCTCTTTACTCAATTAACCTGCATTTTTAAAAAGATAGTTTTGCTAAGTATGGGATCCCAGATCTACAAATATCTTTTTTTTTTAAATTTATGATTTAAAGACATCAATGTCACCCACAAATTTTTCTCTCTGTAACATATCCTCCTTCTCAAGTCCATCTTCTAATATGATTTTCTTTCTTTAATCAATTTGATGATGTAATTGTTCATACAGTTTTCTTCATATTTCATATATGTAGCTATACCGCTGGAATTGCCACATAGTTCTGTAATGTTCTGTCACCTAATTAAAAACCATTTTGCTATTTATTTGGCATAGCCTCTACTGATGTCTTCAAGTACCAGGATATTTTCTTCTAGTTCTTCTTTCATTGCTAATCGTTAGGCTTAGCCCATTCAAGTACTTCAATCAAATGCTTTAGTCTTCATCCCTAGAAGTTTTAATTGTCCACATTTTTTTTCAATACTCTTCACATTTCTGACATATAGCGTTCAGTTACAAAGACTATTGTAATGATTGTACCTGTTCATCACAATTTTTTTTCAGTGTCAGGATGGGTGAAATTTATTGGTGTATTTGTTACATAATAGGTTATATTTTGTTTTTGTGTGTCTTAAAATCTCTTAGTTCACAGGTGTTGTATGTTGTTTTTAAAACTATTTTCTTAATTTCATAAATTAATATGGCATGGAGACTTGCAGAATGATTGGACTAAATAGTAGCTAAATATAGCACTGTTCAGTTTGAAGTCTTTTTTCAAAGATTTGGAAAAATATTGTTAAAAATTCTTATGAATTTTCTATTTCTTGTGATCCCTTCTGAAGCCTAGACTACCTTTTTCCTCCTCTTCCTCCTAGACTTCCTTCTGTTTATTTTGAGAAAACCTCACTGTGTTTCCCAGGCTAACTTAAATTCAAATTCCTCCTGTCTCAGCTTTCCAAGCATTGAGATTACAAGCATACACCACCACACAACATTTCTGTTTAACTCTATTCAAGCAGACATGGAATACTTTCCGTCTGGTTCTGATCCATCCTAACTATAAGCTAAATGCTACCCATACAGCTTCCATGTCTTAATAAATTGAATAGTAGTCTGAACAATTGGTTGATTAAATTTGACATTACTTTTCAGAATTCAGAGACAGTTCTATGTGCATGCCACTGAAAGGTTAGTTTATTGGAATTTTAGAGAGATAGTAATTTAAATATATCTTTTCTGGCAAGGTTCTTGCCATTTATACTGATTATAATTTGCAGGAGCAAATTTCAAATTGAAAATCAAGGAAAGTCACGCACCATGGTTAATTGTGAAAGCCGAAGTTCTAACATATTTTATCGTAGCTGATTAGGAAATCTGCCTCTTCAAATTAGATATCACTTTGCAGTGCTAAAGAGCCAGTGATGAGTGACAGAATGTTCACCTATTGTCCTTCCCTTTCCCAACTTTCCCCAAAAGTTGTCAGCATTAGCATTAGGACTTGCTGCCTATCTTCCAAAGGTTTCTATTCTAAGGGAAAGGAAAACAAGTAGATATTTAGAGTATGTAAGGATGGAGATATGAAGAGTGTGGTGGGTGTTCTGAAGGGGGAAAAGTGTGTCTAGTGACCCACTGGGAAAGTCAGGCCTAGCTTGCCTGAAAGGATGTTCTCACGGTGTGCAAGCCTATCTGAAGAGAACCATACAAGATGCTGCATTGGGGTCTGTCATAAAGTCTTTTCTAATCAAATGCACTTAATCATAGAAAATAGGCCCTGCCAAATTCTTCTGGAGACTAGGAGGTGTGCCCTGGGGCTTAATAATGTCAAGAATAATTCAATGTTTCTAGCTCAAGAGGCAGTATTTGTCAATGCTTTCACTTTATGGTCATGTGATGGTTACTTTACACTAAGCTTATATCAAAAGAAAACAATTACTCTAAATCATTTTAAGTATATAGGTCAGTAATATTAAAGATACCATATGTCTATGGAAGCGTGGTCACCATCTATCTTCAGAAATCTTTCAGGTATACAAAACTAAATCTCCATCTCCATTAAACCACAATTCTTCATTTCTTCCCCTCCTCAGCCTTGCCAAACGCTGTACTGCTTTTGTTTTATGAATATGAGTATTCTAGCTAGCATATGCAGATTAAACCATATATTTGTTGTTTTATGCCAGGCTTATTTTAGTAGAATCTTCTTTACCAATTTCATCTGTGCTGCACCAGGATTCAGATTTTTTTAAAATTTAAGACTGAATAATTTTCCTCTGGCTTTAGTAGGAGCTCTGCATATCCATTCATCATTGATGATGCTAAGGTTTCTTTTATATATTGACTATTACGAATCATGCTGCTTTTACCATGGCTATACAGCATTCTCTCACGGCCATCTTCTTAGCTACCTTGTATCTACACCTAGAAGTAAGGAACTACATTATGAGCAAACTCTATTCGACATTGTTTAAGAAGTATTCTATTATCCCACAATGAGACTATATTTTAAATATTTACACAAATAGTGCACAAGGCCTCTGCTTACTCACCATCTTCATTCATAACTCTCTTTTTCTGCATTTTTAATATTTACTTTCCTTTGTCTTTAGTGACTTTATTTTGCTTTGGAGATGTTACATCATGCTAATGAGAATGAGTTAGTACAGATCATTGAACTTTTCACATACCATTACATTGATCTGCACTTCTATTTATTGTTTAATCCTTATGAACTTTTGACAAAACCAAATCAATGTAATACTAGTAAATGTATCTGAAATTGCATTTTAGAACTGAAAAAAT